TAAAAAAAAAAAAAAAAAAGAAAGCCAGACTCTGAGTAAGAGCAGTCCATACTATAGCAGCATACACTTGATTTCTCCTAACTGTTGGCTTCTTCTCATTTATACTCAATGTAAAGGGGAGTTCAGAGCAACTGGTGGTAGAAAAGTATTTTAAAAGTTATCTAATAGAAGTTCTGTTATGCTTACATTACAACCAAGTGCATTATGCCCTGACTCATGATGGCCAAGGATCACTGGAAATCAGCAGGATCTGTCCCCTAAGCAACCGGCCAGTCCTTAGATCGCTAAGGGCTGGGAAGCTCCATGCCGCCACATCACAGGAACATCGGGTACGGGGGCAGACGCCGAGCACGCTGCTCAGAGGCTGCGGCACGGGGCAGGGCCCGCAAAGCCCTGCATGCCCAAGCAGAAAACTCTCAACCATGTCAACATTTTATTTTATCTCCTGTTTTTACGTTTTCTTCTATGTAAAGTTCTTTTTTGGTATAACATCAGGCTTACAGAGAAGTGGCAAAGACAGAGTAAACAGTTTGCAGGTACATTTCACCCAGTTCCCCCAAACATTAATGCTTCACAGAACCATCACATATTTACTGAAATTAAGGTCAGTACTGATGCATTAATGTCAAACAAACTTCGAACTTAACATCTGGTTTCTGCTGTGACTATTTTAAAACAGACCTCACCCATCATGGTAGTTTATCCATGACTTCCGCAGAACACATTTCTAAAGTATACACCTGTCCTCCCTGTCACCCCAAGTGTGAACTCTATCAGATGAGCCCTTTCTATTAAAAATTGCTGGTGTCTACTGATAACGGTTAAAAATCATTAACACATTCAAAGAGTAATAACCCGAAAGAATTTAGTCAAGTTTTGTCACAGCTATGGATATAAAACAGCAAAAAGAAATATTTTCATTATAGTACCACAAACCATGAGTGTAGTGATTCTGAATCACCTTGGAGGATGTTTAAAACGACCAAGGAGGACCTTTAGCAATATACTTATCATGTCAATACAAACTCCTAACAGTGAACTACAAAGTAACTGCATTTTGATAGAAGAAAGTATCCCATGAAAAAAACGGGTCACTTAAAACTCCCATACCACAAAACTGTAAGAAACAAAGTTTGTGAAGCCAGGAACTAAAGAATTTTCAGAAATTAGCTCACTTTTCATTAATATAAAAAAAAAAATCTTGTTTCCCTTTAGAATGAACACACCGCACATACTAAACTCTAACACAAGACAATAAAAACCAATCAAGACGGGTTCTGCACACACACCAACCTCTCACAATGAATGTATTACATTATATATTACAATCAGGTACAGATGTTAAGAAATTTTTAAAGCATCACATTTTTTTTGGACAATCATGACAGTTCAAATTCTATCACATACTCAAAATATTATGGGAAATGCATTTCACTAGACATGCAACACATACAGCAAATGGAAAATAAAATTTGTTTCCATTAAAATATTCCAGGGGGCCTGGCCCTAGCTCAATTCTTTAAGTGGCTGCTTCCACAAAGCTGTCAGCCTCAGGTTGCTGTAGTTCGATCCCCACAACACTCCAGCCAGCCAAAAGTGTCCTGCAGGCATTCGAGGAGCAAAAAAAAAAAATCCTTATTCCATTTTGGGGCCGGGGAGATGGCTCAGTGGAATAAGCGCTTCCCTGGCAAGCATAAGGATCTGAGTTCAATCCCTGGTTCTGCCAAAAAATAAAATAAAATATCCCAACACTGAATTTCTCCACAGGCTACCTAGTTCTTTACATCAAGTCCAAATCCAAGACCACCTCAACTACAATTCCTTCTAAAAAGTTTTACCCAATTTCTCCGTGGGATGCTGGCTTTCCCTCTAATACTCATTCTTTGAGAGCAGACGGGACTCCAAACCCTAAACAGCAAAACTTCCAGGGGGTGCTCAGGGTTTTACTAAACCACTATACTAATAGGACTGCTTCTGATTTTATGAGCATTTGTCTCTCCCCTATCTTATTCATCTTTTCTGTGCCCCTAAACTCTTGATCATCTGTATAACACAAAAAGTTCCTGTCACCATGTAAGACACATAAAAGCTAACTTGGAAAATGACTTTAAAAGTAGAGTAAGAAAACACATTTACCAATCGTTTGCAATGACTCAAATGCTTCTGATGAAAGAATACTGATATAGGAAATTCTGTTCAAGTTACCAGCTACCAACATCACAACCCAACCTTGGACTACATCAGCACATAAGCTATAAGATCGGAATCATAACAAATAGAACAGCAAATGCAGAAACTCACGCGCTGTCACTATGTGTAAGTCAGACAGGTAGGTTAATCACTGAATGCCCAACTGACCTCTCAGGAAAATAACGAAAGATGTAAGGTAACAAAAGCACTGACTTACCAGAGGTATAGGGAAATGCGTCGCATACTGCAGGTGACGGAGAAGGTCGTAGTTAGATGGAAAAATTAATTCCCTTGGTTTGTCCCTCTTTGTCAATTTCTCACCATTAATTGACATTCTTCTGCTCAAAGAGGGGTTGGCATTCTCACAGGACTCCCCAGGCATGGGAGAAAAAATCTAAGTCATGTAAAACAAATGTTGGAAATTGTAAACGAAAGAAAGTGAAAGCAAGCCACACTGTTACAAACCAGAACTTTAAATACACAAGATATTTGTACAATTATATCTTGTTCTACTTACCCACTACGTGAAAAAAAAAAAAAGTAAGCATTTTACTTACATTAAATTTATATTCAGATCATCAGGAATCTGTCAGTATTATCTCATATGTAGAGAATAGAAAATGAAATCCATACATGGATAAAAAAATAATGTGTCTACCACCCAAGGACCAGAGAGAAAAGATATATAAGGAATGTGGCTACATTCCTTCCAAAAACATACACATAATAATAACCAATAAGAGTAGTGAGCAATAAACATCAAGGTTTTAACCTGTACCCCAAACAAACAATATGTTTTTATAAAGAAGCACACCCTAGGTGTCAGGAGAAATGTATAGTAAGTATCCTGCGATACAGCAGGAGAATGAAAGTACAAATCCAGAGCTGGAAGCTCCACTTTAGAAATGCAAGACATGCGCTGCAAGTCAGCACCGACTGTCAAGATGAAACTAAGCTCATGCATTCTGAGAAATCATCATCTCAACACAAGTTAAAAGTCACAGGCAGCTAGGAGGACAAGTATGTGATGACTGGCAAAGGAGACAATGGGACCAACACTGAGGATGAACCAAGGCTGCCAAGTGCAGGAGGTGATGACTGTGACAGGGGGACATGGCGGGAGTGCATGCACATCACAGGTGCACGAGGCATGCCAGTACATGGGCAGAGGACAGAAGCACAGCGACAAGCCGGGGGAGTGCCTGGGTCACATGTCCGTAAGAATCGAAGGTTGAACCTACTGGAAACTCCGAACCAAAGTCAGTTTTAAAGTCACTCTTGTCTACTTCATCAAAAATGTTAGTAGCTCCTGCATCAATGCCCATATGCGCCATAATACTCTGCTCCTGATAATTGCCAGAGAGAGAAAGTCACGTTGTAAATTCTGCAGCTTAAGAAACTGAAGTGTTTTTTTGTTTTTTGTTTTTTGTTTTTTTCTCGGAATGCCTTGAAGGCATGACTGGCTGAAGCTAAAATGTAACAGATTTTTAATCAGCCTTACCCTCCCTGCATTGTTTTTTCACAGAAAAACAGAAGTAAGTTTTAACACATGCAAGCTGGGTGGGAGTTCCCATCTCTGAACTATTTGCTGTCATAAATTCAACCATATTCCTTAGCAAGAGAAACCTAAAATCATATCTCAGGGACAAGATACGCAGACATCAAAGAGTAGAAAAGGAGCAGCAGTTTAGAAAACATGTGAATCAGGAGAACTACTTTAGTTTTAACCCTTAAAAATTTCTGTGAAAAAAAATTCAGAAACACTGCTTATAATAATAATAAAAAAATTTTTTTTATTAATGCAACTTTTGGAAAACAAATTTTTTTTTAATGTATTTGGTACAGGGTCTCACTACACAGCTCAGACTCATAGTGATCCTCCTGTTTTCAGCCTGCCCAGCACTGGGATTATAGGTGTGTGCCACCACGCCCAGCCAGTGTCTGCGGCTGACCCGGGGGGGGGGGGGGGGAGGTGTCCATCCTGAACTCCTGTCCCTGTGCTTTCCTACGCAGGCACTTAGTCCACTGAGCTACCTCGCTGGCCCTGGAAAACAAATTTTGTAAGCACAAACTATGAACCTATGTGCAATTCTAGTGCCAAGCTTTTTCTTTTTTCTACAAATACAGCCAGTGTTTTACATATCATAATGATATATGAGTAAATGCTTTCAAAATCAGTATGAAGTTCCATTTTAAGGAAGTCACAAATTGTTGTTACCACTTGCAAAATTTAAGTATGTGGCATAACATACAAAATATCAGCACTTGGCATAAAACGGTACAGCAATACTCAGAGCACAAAATAGTTTGCTGAAAAGAATAAGCGCCCCATACTTGAGAAACAGATTAAATTTTCAGTGAGTCAGACTAAAAGTATAATGTGTTATGGCTGACACTGAATATGCAAGTATGCATGAGAAGGTGCTATAAGAACGAAAGGTACATTGGGGAAAAGATGCTCTTTAGAATGAAAACCCAGCTAGTCTTTAGGGTCAAAACAGTTTGGCCTTGAGGATAACACTCCAAGGAAAATGGAGACTAGAAAGATCTAAAACTAGAAGCATATGAGTCTTATTAAATAATTACAACTTGTCAAACATTTTCATTAACAATTTTACAGAATATAAAAAGACAAATTATAGTCCAGATGTCCTTTCAGAGTGGAAAGTGGAGATAAAAAGACATTATAGAAAACATCAGAAGTAAAAAGTGATCAGTCTCCTACCACTAGTACCCATCTGAGAGTAGCCGCCAGCCCGTCCATGTGCCGAGTGGGGCCTTACCCCCAGGGTCCTACCTCCATTTTCATGTCATGGTCCTTTGCATAGTGTTCATCTGCATTTTCGCCTGCTGGTGACCGTGGCCCGGTGGAGGCAGTGACTGACAAGTCTCCTCGCGAGATGAGCGTGCACATGTAGGCGTCATGGGAGAAGACATCATGGCGAATGAACTCACAGAAGAGCAGCACCAGGTTCACAAATTCCACCTTTTCACACTCACTGTTTGGATCCGCTGTGAAGAAGCAAATTCAATCAGAAATTTCTTGACCTCATAGGAAAATCCACTAACGTTATAGTTCATCTCTTTTTTAAAATAATTTATCAAAATGACTGAGGCACTTGTGCTTTGTATAAAGCTAACAAGTAGGTTTTTGCTTGGCCAAATATAATTCAAAGAGTAAAAAACACAATTTCAATTTGAGTGGTAGTAGGTACTGCCAAATCAAATTATACCATAAAGCAAGGCTGATCCACCATTCTCCGCCCTTACTATTACAGTTTGTGGCCAGTTTTTCTACATCGTGCCCTCCTCGTGCTTTGAGGGCACATGTGTGCACTGTTTCAAAGACAACTTCACAGAAGAATCACAATTCAAATGATATTTCAAGAGAAATAGTAAATAGGCTCTACTGGAAAAGGAAACTGGAATAAAAAGGGTATAAAGATGAAGCTATATCATTCTTTTTTTTACATTCATATTCGATCTATTTAATTCACATACAAGCCTCAGATCTGTACCTTGAGATGAGGCTAAAAACTGTTCGCTGCTCTACTGGCACTATCCCATTCACAACCCCGACAGTGGACAACCGTGCTCTCCATGGGCCCTGAGCTCAGCCCTCACTTCCTCCCACCCAGTCACCTTCAAGAATGAGCAGCCCCTACACCAGCAAACCTAAGTTCTACACACAGTAAACACTATACAGGACTAGCAGAGGCTAGTTGAAGGAGAACGTTTACCCAAGAAAGAACAGGAATGGGGGTGGGAAAAGGCAAGCAAAAAGGAAACGTGCACTTTCTCCAGATGCAAGGCAACTTGCAAGACGTGGTCCAAATATATACTAGATGTTTCAGTTCTAAAGTTGTTTAAGTAAAACACCTACTGCCATAAGTCCTCCCTCACAGTACTGCCCATCACCTCAAGCACTCTCACTGCACTGTTCTTGCTGCTTTCTCAAGCAGTTCTTTTGCATCTTTATAAAGTACAATTTAAAAAAAAAAAAACAAATGCAGTGAACACTACTGCCAAGTGCCATCCAACAGGAAAGTTCACAGAAACATAACGATATATCCTCATCCACTATATCCACCAGACCTGGCACTGTGAAAGTCAAGTGTCCATGCAGCCAGCCACTTCTAGAAAAGAGGACTTCTAGAAACGCTGGCTATGGGCCGGGGATATGGCTCAGCCCCTGGCAAGCACAAGGTCTCCAGTTCCATCCCTGGTACCACAAAAAAAAAAAAAAAGAACTTCTGGGTATGAAGTACAGTGTTTAATTTACCCATGCTTTTAAGAGTAAAGGTTAGAAAAGCAGAAATTTAGAAAACTACTCAAAAAGTAAAAATTCCTAATCACAATACACAAATAAATGTCACAGGGCCTTAGTTTTCTATTGTAGTAAGAATGCTCCAAAAAGAAGAAGCTAATATATCAAATACAAGGAAGTCAGGTAACTTAATTTTAAAATTATTCCAAAAAGATTAAAGCCTTTGCAGTTCAAAGGTCTAAGCTGGCTGCATGTTTTCACTGAAAAAAAAAAAAAAAAAAAGCCAATAATTTATTTTCAGTAAAATATAGATTATATTCAGCTTCAAAAAGATGTATGTTATATTCAGCGCCAAGAACTTCAGGTATATTGCAAACGGAAAGGAAATTACAAAAGAATCTGCTCAAAGGAAAAAAGGCAGGGAATGAAGGAGGGAGGAGGAAAGGTAAGGAAAGCAGCCCCATGTCTGCAAGCAGCATCCTTCTTACTTACACAGTGAGGGAGCCTGTGTATCTAAAAACCTTAGCAGGACATTCTGGAAAACAGGCAAGCCAGACCCAGCAAGAGAGGCTGAAGAAATAGACTCCTTTTCGTCTAGGACTTCTGATTCCCCACATCTCTATAGATTAAAATAAAAACAGTTAATTACAAACGATGAGTAGAGTCACAACAGGTCATGAATTTGTTAGTTTTGTATTAACATTTGCATTCATTGAAAAGGCATATAAAATCAATTGAAATTTCTATATTTGAAGACTGCACACCACAGGTGAGTAGTTTCTATAAGATGGAGAAAACTACTCTGGAATAATCAACTGACTCCAAAGAACATACGTGAAGCACATGTTTCGTGTGCACTGTGAACCACAGAGCTATGTAAGTGAACACATGACACAGAGCAATGACTATTCCTTGTACCCGTACAAAGCTGCGCGTTTAATTGTATGTTTCCTGAACTTTGCGGCCCATGTTGCTCGACTGGATTCATCAGCGTGTATGTACTTTGTCAGGAGGGTGTATCACCTTTGTACGGAGCTGCCTAATGCAAAGGCACACACAGTTCCTCTAAGAAGATCTCACTTCGTCACACTGGCCCGGGGGATCTCCTGAGAAGGGGCGTCCACACCACTCCTGGCACAGCCCCAGGGAGGCTGTTTACCTCCTCCAAGATTCAACGCTCAACTTGCTCAAAGGTTGAGAATCTGTTTAAAAGTGATCAGAACCTCCTTTACTATTTTCTGATGTCCCTGTGATCTTTCTCACTTTCACTTATTCTTTAATATTGATATAAAAATGTTACTTAAGTTGTTATACTATCTTTCTAACCCTCTATTTGTAAAGGTATAATTTCAAAGATGATAGAAAACATTTAATAGAGATCAGTATCTCTGCAAGAAGGCACTTATAGGGGGCCTGGCCCTAGCTCAGTCCTTTAAGTGGCTGCTTCCACAAAGCTGTCAGCCTCAGGTTGCTGGAGTTCGAACCTCACAAGTCTCTCGCTGGCCAAAAGTGCCTTGAAGGCATTCGAGGAACAAAAAAGAATGCACTTACATATATGGATACAATTAAATCCATTAAGGAGAACATTATGGGATACAAAAAATACTGCCAAATTCACACGATTTTATTTAAATTCTGTATCATTTGTAATTATTTCTGTTGTAATACTATTTTATACTTTCTTAAAAAAAAATAACTAAAAAATAAATATAAAAATAAAATAATCTGGGGCCAGGGAGATGGCTCAGTAGAATAAGCGCTTGCCTGGCAAGCACAAGGGCTTAAATTCAATCCCTGGTTCCACTAAAAAAATTTAAAAATTTAAATAAAATAAAATAATCTGTGAGTCCTTTTTGAAAGTGGGAGTTAAGAAGATACTATTTATTTATTTATTTTTATTTATTTAGTATAGGATCTCACTACACAAATCAGACTCGTAATGATCCTTCCTGCTTTTCAGCCTCCCAAGTGCTGGGATTACAGCCATGCGCCACCATGCCCAGTCTCAATCACTGTCTCAGCACGTCCAGGAATGTGGCCAGCACGGCACGCCAGGGATTGAATCCCTGGCGCCTGCATCTGCTTAAGCAGGTGCTTCAATCCACTGAGCTATCTGGCCGGCCCAAAAAGATACAATTTAAAAAGAGCAATTAAGTATTTCAGAAATCCTTCAGTTGCTTCAGTTTCTGAAGTTTGTTCTTTGTAATTCACCACAAAATAACCCATCCATTAAAATGTGTATTAAAAAAAAAAAAAAGGAGCAAGAAATGCTCTTCCTAATTTGAACCATTTTGCAATGGGACATTTGATTTTTTTCTATGCATTTCATGAAGATATTGAATATTCTCATAGGATTAATCCATATTTATATTATTCTTATATTATTTTTATTGTTTATTGGTACAATTTAGACACTCATAATCACATTCATCATAGGGAATTCATACCTGTACATGAAATATCTTGATTCCTTTGCTTTCCTATCCCTTTTCACTTCCTTCAACCACATTTTCATTTCCTGTGTCCCTCTAATCCTCTATTTGCAAAGATAAATTTCAACAGTGGGATCCTTTATGCATGATGAATGCTGCTTTCCCAACAAGAGGATGCCTATGAAAATGTTCTTATTTAATTCTTAAACACATTCATAGGAAGTTGGTGTGTTGTGAGCAACACAGAGCCAGCTGCATCTGTCTGTTTATGCAAAGAGCAGCTTCTGAGCACCTCCGACATCCTGAGGGCTGAGCCGGGGCACAGCGCTAAACAGCACGCTGTCAAGCTTATTTCTATGGGAAAAGCAAGCATCAAACAACAAGCACATCAACTAGCTTAACATACAGTGCGTGGGGAAAGTACAACAGAGTGCCGTGATAAAGAAGGGCAGCTGGTGAGCGGGTACGGCGAGCTTCGGCAGCAGAAGACCTTCCTGTGCAGGTGTTCCTATGCGAGGCGCTGCGCGGAAGTGGCACTTCGGGAAATGGGAATGCTGGAGAGAGGCTGGGCGTGGGAAGACTTGGACGCAGACTCTGCCACCCAGAAGGGACAGCAAGAGCAAAATCCCCAAAATAAAGTGAACTTTGTGTGTTGGAGCAGCAGAATCCAGGATTATGGATAGAGCTGCAACCCAAGAGAGGAAGGTACAAGACAAGGTGGAAACGCCAGGCAGGCAAGGGAGGCTCTGTGGCCGTGGAGCTTTAGTAAGGGATCCCGTGTTCTGGTTACATTTCTGAGAGACCAGTCTGGCAGCTGTGTAGAGAGGGACAGAGGCCAAGAGAGAGAGGGGAGAGACAAGTAGAAGTGGACGCTGCCTATGAGGGATGCTGAGGCCCTTGTCAGACCACACACATATTCCCTGTGGTCACCTCTGCTAGAGAGATAGGCACAATTAAAGGCTGCGTGGAAATCATCCCATCAACAAATCATCAGTCGTATTGATGATATTAGCTTTCTATTTCCTTTATAATTTAAGTCTGAGGCTTTAATGGCCATCGCTGGGGTTAGAATATAACCTAAAAAACTAACACAAACTGGGGCCAGCCAGATAGCTCAGGGGACTAAAGCGCCTGCTTAGGCAGAGCTCTGCAGCCCGGTTCGATCTCCTACGTGTCATGTCAGTCCCACCCTGGGGGTGTGCTAAAAGAGAGATTGTGACTTGGCATGGTGGTGCGCACCTGTAATCCCAGCGCTTGGGAGGCTGAACACAGGAGGATCACTAGGAGTCCCATCTGTGTAGTGAGACCCTGTAGACCCTGTACTAAAAAAAAAAAAAAAAAAAAAAAAAGCAACACAAACTGGTATCTAAAACCTCATAACCATAACTGCCTCAAAAATGTATTTCTAAAGCCACTAACTTACAGCATGGCTCTAAGTTTCAAAAGTTAGTATACAACTTCTCTGGTGGTCTAGTGGTTAGGATTTGGGGCTCTCAGAAGTTGGCATGTTACATATGTTTGTCTGTGGCAAAGTTTGTGAGTATCTACATACATCCATCTCACAAAACAAGATTTCTTCATACTAAATCAGATGCTGTTTTATTTTAAAAGACATATTACTTAGTCCATACAAATTATTAGCTGTATCAAGTTAGAGAGATCCTACTTATATGAATTTGCACATCATACTCTTTCTCAAGAAAAAAAGAAGAGCATAAGAAAAACAAAAGTGTATTCCTCAAACAGAATATTTTGGCTGCAGCACTCAGCAAGGAGAAGGAGAAGCGGGCCTACCTCTGCCTCGATCTCCGCTTGCCTCTTCTCCAAGAGCTTGGCCACCGCCATGGCCCTGTGCTTGCCCGACCTTTTGCAGCTCACGGCCCACTCGCACAGCAGTGTCACCACAGCTTCATCATTGGGGGCAACCTAGTGACCAAGAGAGACAGGAACCAGCTGTACCAAATGAAATGCTCTCCCACTGGGGTCCAGCCAGGAGTACCTTGTGCAGAGCTCTTCCCTGCTAATTCATGAAAGCATTTTTAGCGGATGCTTCCAAATCATTTGGGCTGAGTGTAAATAAAGCATGAAAGTATAGCCGTAAGGAAGGAAGTCACTCAAGAACCACCCGCACTCAACCTGTGACAATCCCAAGGGAATTGGTTTTCTGTAATGACTGCGCTTACAGTCGTAACCTTGCCCCTTCAACCCTCTAGAATTTAATTTCAAATCTAAAAAGAAAGAGAAAAGGAGCACTAACCACCAAAAGCAACTGTTAGCAAGTAAGTCCAAGTACTGCCCTCAGCTGTCAGCATCAGGACCTCACGCATACATGATGTTATCAGGCTGGTTACCAAACGATTCTATTCAATAAGAAATTACAAAGCAGCAGCAGGGTCTGGAAGGCTGGTACAAGACCCATTCTATCAGACACAGCAAGCATGAAGAATTAGAAAGAAAAAGTAATTAAAAGCACACATAGGTAACAAAATACACCGGGTCTTTGTAGGCCTCATCATGGTGCCCAGGTGCCCAAACCATCCGCCTAAGGATGAGCGACCGTGCCTGAGAACGCCAGAATTCAGGGACATGAATCATGAAGTTGCAGGGTTGGGGACAAAGGATGCCAGAGGTCCTGTGCTTCCACGGACTCTGCCTTTTTCCTTCAGAATATCCTTGCCAAGAAATGCAGTACCAACTGCAAGGTTTGTTCTCATCCTACAGACATTATAGAAGGCAAGCAGATCAGCCCAGCATCAGCACTGATGCACCTCGTGACAAGTTCTTAGCATTTTAAAGTCCATTCTCAGCATTAAAGTCCAGTAAGATTATGCCAGCACATGAGTACTCTGTGGAAGAACATACACAAATTTATCCCAACACTTTAGGTCTGTGACTCCAAAAAGGCATCTAAAAAGTCAGGCAGCCAGGCATGGTATTGGATGCCTGCAATGCCTGAGCTCAGGAGGCTGAGGCAGGAGGTTCACTGTGAATGCAAGGTCGGCTTCAGATAAAAAGTGAGTTCAAGGCCAGCCTGAACTGCAGACTGAAACTCTGTCTCAAAAAGACAAAAGAATAAAATAAGTAAATCAGTGTAAGAAACCATGATCAGTTTTAGAGTCTAGCAAAGAATTCAGATTATGAAAACAAGTTTATTCCAAGATTTTTACTCATCTTAATCCTAAATACAATGATTTAACCACATATTGACTCAAAACAAGAAGCCAACTTATTCTAATTTAAGGCAGATACTGTGACAGCAGTACTATGGTATGTCCGTTAGGGCATAACCCCAACTGCATCCCTATTGCATCTTAAAAACCACACTAAAAAGTACCGTTATAACTTCTAACGCATTCATATTCCTTGTTTAGTCAGCTTTTTTCTAACAGGTACGATGTTTCTGGGTATGTGAGGAAAACACTCAGAGACACTTTCACTCTCCGCAGGTCTTATGCCTTCACTCCTTGGGCTCTATGGCCAAAGGCTGGGTTACCAGAGTAAGTCATGTGAACTTTTAAAAAGACTGTTGTTGTACAATGGAGATTACATCCAAAAGCGCAGTGCTCATTTTTATTCCTGCAAAGTAATACATGAGAAAATATGTACGTCTGGTGCCTAGAAGAGGGGCTGGTAATAGACATTCTCAATAAGTATTGTTGAATAAATTAATAAATAAATGAAGGAAGGAGACCTGTTTCACGGCAATCCTTTCCCATGAGCTGTTAAACTGTTTTCTAGATTCAAAATTTTTATGGTAGCTTTCTTGTATTTGTTAAACACCAGTGCCCTGTTCCTGCGGTTCCTGCAATCCCAACCATGTTTTCTACCTGTATGTGTTTGCGTAAAACTACTCTGAATTAATTTCTTATTAATGCTGTTATTAAAATTTGGTGGCTTATACAGTTATATGTAGAAGATGGGCAAGACAATGATCCTGAGAATCTCCAGAAGATTTTTGAATCCAGCAGTTAACTGGAAAGATTCTCACCCTGACTAACTATATATACTAATACCTATGAACTAAGCTACTGCACTGAGGATGGTAATCTAACTGGGTTCATGCTTGGAGTGTCTGTCATTCTGGTCTTCTGAATATGGGCTGCTTTTCATGACATGCCAGTTGCTATTGTGCTGTCTCTCAGGTAGATGATTGTTCAAAAAGAAGGAGGTGGTAAATGAAGGCAAGAGACAGGAAAAGGAATATTGTGGGACTGTCCTGCTTCAAGGTTATATATGGTGAGATTTTTGGACTTACGTGATTGATGATGTAGAGTGTACCTAAGGAGAGTCACATGGAGAGAAAACATTCTCTCAGGCTTTCACAGAGAGCACATTGGCCACATAGGCATAATTCTTTATGCCTATTTTTAAAATATATTCTAATTTTTAAACGTTTTTTCATCATATTCTGTAAGGACTTAAATTTTCCATGTTATGCCTAAGATGTTTGATATTCAGACAGATAGTGAGGTTAAGCTTAACAGCCTAGGTTGTAGTAACAATAAGCTTCTCTTCTGGAGGGTTAACAACCTAAGTTTGCAGAACAAAATTAGAGAAAAATGAAGTCCACAATGAAATCGAACATTTTGTCCCTAGCCTTGCAAGGTCAATTAAGACTCAGGACATATGAGAACTTGTACTGTAACATCATGTAACTCAGTAGTGTCCCAAATTTTCTGATCAAGGAGATTATGGGGCCAAAGAGGAAAGTGATTGATGATGTAGAGTGTGCCTAAAGAAAGTCACATGGAGAGAAAACATTCTCTCAGGCTTTCACAGAGAGCACATTGGCCAAGCAATGGCCGTGACTCATCCACATGGCTGACACTGACAAAGGTTCTACAATCTGAGGTACAGGATCTCAGGATAAATCCTGAGGGGATTTCACTGACCTTATCAGACTCAAAAGCTACAACTCTTGTTGCATAGGTCCTGCTTTACCTTAGTCTTAGCCATCCAGGAGAAAAGTATAAAAACGAAGTATAAGAAGTAAAGCCATGCTGTTATGTTGAGCTGCGGGGGACTCGGGTCAACAATTTCTGACATTGCCAGTCAAGCAGAAGACCCAATACTATTATGGACTACTGGACTCTTAGAATATTTTGCTGAGTTAACACACCTATAATATTCAAATAACAGAACTTAACAAGAAAAGGGGATACAGATGAATGTCCATTTTGTATCTGTGTATTCAAAGTGGTTAGGATAGATATATAGTTACATTCGCTTAATGAATTGAGGGATTTGTTCTAATGGTGTTTGTAGATAGGATATCAAGTCAGCATCTTGTACAGCAATTAACCACTAGGAAGAATGAATGCAATGTGTTAATTATTGAAACTGTCCTACCAATTTGGTTTGAAACTGTCTCATTGCTATTTGTCTCTCAATAAAATTATGGAAATAAAATAAAATAAAATTTGGTGGCTTAGAACTACAGAGAGTATTCTCTCACAGCTTGGAAGGTTAGGTTTCTTACTGGGTTACAGATCAAGGATCCTTCCTGTCTGCTGGCTCTGGAGTTTTCTGTGGGAGAATGCCTCTCTTTATTTCTTTCTTGGTTTCCAGAAGCTGTCTGAATTCTTTAACATATGATGCCTTCCTCCAAATTCAAAGCCAAGTGTGGAAGATCTTCAGATCTGCCTGTGACACCTAATTCCACAAGGCTTCTCTACAGTGTTTGGGAAGGTGAAGGACTTTGCTTTCATCATTCTCTGGAGTGTTTCCTAACGGGAGCTGGAGACCTACTGGCCACAAGGGCAACCTGTAAAGGATGCCGACTGCACAGGAGTACAGAGGGGAACACCAGTGAGCAGTAAGCTTTCCCACTAACTCAAGAGAACTGTACAGAAAACCACTAAAAACAATGAGAGTTAGCTTTCAAAACCAGAACAAAACACACCAAAGGAAAAGCATTAAAAGGCTTTGCAGATCATGAATTGTCCAATTCCATTATGTCCTCCAAACTTTTGCAGTTGTTAAGTGTCCATATACATAGGAGGAAAACACCTGAAGAAAATGGAGCAAAATTAACAGCCGTACTGCTGGCTCATACAATGCATTTGTTATGGGGGATGGCCTGTCCTTAGGCTTTAGCAACATGCCTGTGATTTTACAGTTGAATAAGCGAAGGCCTAAAGGTTAAGCAGCAAGGTGTCTTAAAGCCGCCACATCACAGAACCATGCCTACAGCACAGGTGTTTGCATACAGAGGAAACCCTTATACCAAATGCTCTCTTTTGGGGCAAAAGAGTAAGAAAGACATTGACTAAAATTTGTTTTTTGGTTTTTGGCTTTTTTTTTTTAATAAAGACCACAAATGCACTTTTATTTTCTGTTAGTTTAAATTCTTGAGGGGTACAGCATCACACAGATTCGGTGTCCATGTCCTTAGCAGGAAGGTTGCTTCGGAACTTGGCACGAGCCACGCCGCTGTTTCCGTGGGCCCATGTTACTTTCCTCAGATCTCTCTGGCTTTGTTTGGTTTGCCACCTGGAGTCACTGTGTTGTTTTTCACTTGTACACATAAGCACATCTCTTGCCCAAGTAGAATTCAGTTTCATCCCAGGCATAAACACCTTCACTTTTAAGAAGAGCTGTGTGGGGGCTGGTGAGATGACTCAGTGGTCTAAAGCACCTACTTAGAACAAGCTTAACAAAGCACAGGGACCACGGTTCAATCCCCCAGCACCACATGCCAGCCAGCCCCGCCCCCTGGTGGGCCGAGCTGGCCACACACACAAATAAATAAAAATAAAATAAATTTAAAAAAAAAAAAAAAAAGAAGAAGAAGAAGAGCTGTGTGTTCCCTCTGGTTCCAGAGACCCCGCGTATAGCCAGCAAAAATGGCCTTGTACCAGAGTTCTGCAGACATACTGGCCTTTTAGAAGTCCTGTTCCCAGCAGGCCTCGCCAGACCCCAAAATA